TGAATACAATCAAAATGGAATCGTGTATTCTTCATAACACCTACATTAAATTTCATAAATTCACAGACAATTCAAAGTTCTTTATGCATTTTAACCACACCAAGAATGTTGCCAAGCTTGGGGATGGGAGAATTAGAGGTACCAACAAAAGTAGACACTCTTTTATGTGGGATAAAATAATTTTATCCCATCTAGTGCTGCAAACAAACACTAACTAAGAGTATGAATCTTATACATAATATCTCAATCTAAAATTTACTATATAACCCAAAATTATATATCATCACTATAATATATTAAAGTCAACAATACTAAAAAACATAATAAGTTTCAAAAGTAAAAGTTATATATCATCACCATAATATATTTAAAGTCAGCAATACTAAAAAAACATAATAAGTTTAAAAAGTATAATATAAATAAATTACTTAGATCAAATTTTGGAACACTTCTTTATAAACGACATTCTTTATTTGCCTTTTTCGATATAATATAATATATATTGGGCTTTCTTTTTTTGAATTGTATGGGCCTTCGTAACAAGGTAGGAAATTTCTTTAATACTTTGATTCTTGATTTATTTTTTTCTTTTTTTGAATATAATTTAATTGCTGATTTACTCAAAAAAAAAAAAATTGCTGATATATTTTATTTTCAAAACAAAATTCAATGAGTTTTACATGTTAGTTTTGCACAAAATACAATTTTTTTTACTGTTAGATTTCATTGTTTTATTAAATTCGAGAGGAAATATCACAAATTAATCGTATTTTAGTTATTTATTATCTAGTTCGGACATATCATAGGTGTCAGGTAAGAAAAGACTAATATACATGATATAAACAATCGACAAAGTACGGCCATCTCCATGAGGTAAAATTAAATTTATAAAAAAAACTATTTTGTTCATGTAATTACAACCACCCTCTCGACTATGTTTATCTTATGAGAAAATTCATCTTTCAGTAGGTAAATTTGTCACTGTAAGGATGGACGTATAAGAAAATATATAGTTGAGGGGTGGTTGTACATATCCAAAGATGAGGTTTTTTTTTTTTTTTTTTCCGTAATTTGACTTTACCTCAGGGGACCGTAATTTGCGCTAAAAAATAAAATTGAAATAAAATCTGGAATACTTTATTAGTTACAAAAGTACTTCAACCTCATAAACTGGACAGCTACAACCAAAATTACAAACAAATTTAGAAAAGAAAAAAAAAAAAGGAAAAAAAAAATGTAACAGAAGCATCATTCTCTATCAGTGAGTTCAGTTAGTTGTCTTCTTGAAATCGATTTTATCGACCTTCACCTCTCCATCAATGAGTTCGTAAACATAGACGACAACTCGAAGACCATCAATATCCATTAGAACAAAGCTCGGGTTGACATCGTAAGTTATGCTGCTAAAGGCACCTGTCGCTGACCCTGGGTTTATCACAACCCCAGCCTCGTGCTTGTACGCTGTGAACTGGTGTGAGTGGCCTGTCACGAGAATGTCTACGTCCAGCTGTCGTTGTAGCATTGCCAGCGAGTCAAGGTCTCCCCATGGAATCACCTTCATCAATGGATTATCCGGAAAAAAAATCACGTTAAATCATAGAGTTTACGCATAACCACACACACATACATGTGGGTGTGTGTAACTAACACTCGTGTATGGTTAGATAATCAGACCTGATGACCATGGCATATGCCAAGCTTGAACTGACCAATTGTTAAGGTTTTGGTATCTGGGTAACGTGCATCGTCGTCATATTCGCCTCGGGTAATGTGCAAATCTGGACAAAGGGTTTTCAAATAGTCGTGAACCTCCTGCAAGTCATTTTTAATGTGCTAGTTAATTATTTCCCATGTTCAGTGAAAGAATCGGAGGAAATTCTCTAACACGGCATATTACAGCAAAAGGAGAGTCCTACAAACATATACTAATTTTGTTTTTAGTGCTAAATTTTGATAATACATGTTCAGCTATCAAAGCACGAAATTATATTTCGAGAGTGTAAATAGTGGATCAGAACTTTGACACTCGACTAATTTCCGCGTATCTACTTTGTAGCTCATCTGTAAGGATCTGTATATTAGACTAACATCGGTCAGGTGCATATAAACTTCCTTTGTGGAGAAGTACTCTTTCATCCCGACGAAAAAGATTCGAGTATCTACTGGATTTATACAAAATTTAACATATAAATCAAAATGACTTAATTTGATCCATTTACCCGTTTAAATTAGCAAATATTCTCATGGTTCCACGTGAGTTACGTAGCCATCACAGCTTAGTGTTTAGCTAACTATCCCAATTCTTTTTCTGAGTTTCAGAGTGAAACACAAAATCATTCCACCACAAGTCACTCTCTTTATCTATAAAGACCTATTATCTAAGTTTCATAAGTTTCAACGAAACACGAAACAATTACACCACGAGTTACTCCGTTTATCAATAAAGACCTCTTATCTAAGCTTCCCAGTCTCCATGATCTCTAGGATATTCCTTAAGCCAAGTTATTTTAAAGCATGGAAAAAACCCGAAGATTTTAGGACAGTGACACAAAGTACAGACTAACATGCCAAATAATTAAGTATTATAACAGTAGCACAAAAATCCTTCCGGAAAAGAAACGAAAAATTATAATCGGATACACCATGTACACTCACTTTGATACATAAATTGCCGGTGCAAATGACGTGCTGGATTTTTCCCGGAACAAGCATGGACTTGAATTTGGCTGGCAGATCGGGCGCCCTGTGCGGTATGTGTAAATCACCCAATGCTAGTACTAGCACCATTCCTCCTTTTTCGATAATCGAACTTTTTTTCTGAATACAAGTAAGAAACTTGTCACACACACACACATAAAGAAAACACACAAATAGGTGAAAATGTGCACAATCAATAACAAATTCTAGCACCATTCCTCCTTTTTTCAAATAATCAAAGTTTTTTTTTTTCTGAATACAAGTAAAAAACTTGTCACACACACACACACACATAAAGGAAACACACACAAATTGGTGAAAAGATGGACAATCAATAACAAATTCTAGCACCATTCCTCCTTTTTTCAACGATCAAAGTTTTTTTCTGAATACAAGTAAGAAACTTGTCACCCACACACACACAAAATTTTTTTGGTGAAAATGTGCACAATCAATAACAAATTCTAGTAGTACAATTCAATTTGACTTCAAATAAACCAAGTCCTAGGCCCATGATCTGCAATTTTAATCATTTAGCCCAATCTCAAGGCAAAATGAGAAGGCTGTATACTGAGATCGCATAAAAATTCAAGACGTTGGTTCCGATGAAAGTGAACCAAAATTTGTGAGTAAAGCTCCAGAAATTGAATTAGCAGCAGACACGCAAGTATTTCAAACAAAAATACTAAAATCAAAAATGAATTTTACCTGCAATAGGACGAAGATTATTCAAGAGACGGAAGGAGAGAGTTGAGAGTACAGTGGTGATGGAATTTCTATTGCGATCTGAGAATTAGGGTTCTTCGCTGAGATTCCCGTTTGATCATCGTGCTGAAATTGCAATTCTAAAAGTACTTATTCAGGGGTTTTGGGAATTTGTCCCCTCAGGCTGCTTCGAGCCATTTCTTTAGTATATAATAAATAAATAAATAAATAAATAAAATTGTCAAATTTTTTTTTTTGTAAATTGAAATAATTGCTTATTTCTTCAACAAGGGTATTAAAAAACGTCATGAAAAAAATTGACTTGAAACAAATAATTGGAAAATGTGATATTTGCAAGCGAATTTTCATTTTTATTTTTTTTAATAATTAAAATATTCTAATAAAATGAATTGAAATAAATATAACAAGAGCATCGATATTGGTTACAATTTTCATTTATTTAATTATAAACATGTTCTCAAATTCGAAAAATTGAATTATAGCTTTAATCATCTCGTTTCAAAATGAGTAGAATACAAAAATTGTAATTGCAAAGAATTAAAACCAAATTACGAGCAATCAAACTCAACCATCAATCAACTCAGCACCTCCGAAATAACAAACTTGGTCCAATAGTTAGACAACTGTGGCAGAAATTTGTAAAGAAAAAAAAACTAAAAAAAAAAAAAAAGGAAGTCATTGTGGTTTCAGTTAGGATGTAGTTGTCTTCTTAAAATCGATTTTATCGACCTTCACCTCTCCATCAATGAGTTCGTAAACATAAACGACAACTCGTAGACCATCAATATCCATTAGAACGAAGCTAGGGTTGACATCGTAGGTGATGCTGCTAAAGGCACCCGTCGCTGACCCTGGGTTTATCACAACCCCAGCCTCGTGCTTGTACGCTGTGAACTGGTGTGTGTGACCTGTCACGAGAATGTCTACGTCCAGCTGTCGCTGTAGCATTGCCAGCGAGTCGAGATCTCCCCATGGAATCACCTTCATAGAAAGATTACATCAAGAGAATGAACAACCATTTATCTAATTTTTTTCGGCTCTATTTGATAATGCATTATCTTTATAGCAATTAAAAGAGAAACAAACCTGATGGCCGTGGCATATACCGAGCTTAAATTGGCCAATTGTTAATGTCTTTGTTTCGGGGTAACGTGAATCCACATCGTATTCTCCTCGAGTAATGTGCAAGTCTGAACAAACGGTTTTCAAGTAGTCATGAACTTCCTGCAAATATCTCAACATTCTCAGATTAAATGCCTTTCTTGATTTTGGGGCTCAATCATAAACCTGATGGTTAACTATCTAAATTCTAAGCAGCACTTTATTTCACGTTTTACTTTGGTGCTAGTTGACTGCGTGATGATTAGTCCGTGCAGCAACGGTAACAAACATGTGCATCTACATAGGCAGGCAATCATACGGAAAACACCAATAGTAGTAGTTTATGGATAGTAAATTAGGAGGCATAGAATTAGCGTATGTACTTTATAGCCCACTTATTGTATCGATTTTCCAGCCTAAACTGTTTATTATGAGTGCTGTAAATTGGAGATTTTGGTTGTTGACATGTCCGTTGATCACTCAGTGGAGGGTAGAGTAGTGACTAGTAAATTTTCAACATGAATTCAAAAAATGAATGCACAAACCAGATATTTACGTTCCTTCAAAATCTAATATCTAAATTCACTAACAAGTAACAAACACCATCACAAGTATCAAGAAATCAATAAAGATAAGACTCTACATGCAAAGAGAGTATAAAACAGGCAAAAGGGCAGTTTGATCAGTAACTTCTACATCTCATGAATTAATTGTTGAGGGCAAATACAGATTTCCGTGGCCTTTTCTCAAGTCACAAGGTTACCTACCCCATAGAAGGTCCCTCCAGTCCTATCTTTAGTAATTATTCACCAATAGAGATTTTTTATTATCTCAATCCACCTATTGGAATTAGCAAATATTCGTTTGGTTCAAAACGAGCTATGCAGCTATCTTCTGCTACGCGTTCAGCTGATAATCCTAATATTTAGCCCTTCTATAATTTAATGAAGTGGAAATCCCTAAGTTTGCCGTTTCAAATGCTCTCTAAGAAATTAAAAAAAAAAAATAAAACAAATCCGCAGCATCAACGTAACAAATTTCAAGGCACATAAGTTATTCCAAAAGTACAAGAATGGAATTCTCAAGCGCATAATCCTTCCGAACGAAAAGAATAATCAGAGACTATGTGCACTCACTTTGATAGATACGTTGCCGGTGCAAATGACATGCTGGATCTTTCCAGGAACAAGCATGGACTTGAATTTGGCTGGCAAATCCGGAGCCCTGTGTGGTATGTGTAAATCACCCAATGCCAGTACTAACACCATCGCTCCTATTTCAATTATCAAATATTCGACTTTTCTTTTCGACAAATCTTCTGAAAACAAAACAGGGAATATACACTATTTTAGAAACTAAGAAACTTATCACACAGAAAACACACACACACACAGTGAATACATAAAAGTATGTACATCTCTGTGTTCTTGTATGAGCATTCTTAGTAGTATATTTAGGTTTGACTTCACAATTAAAAAAAAATGATCACATTTATCTGGCATTTTACCCATTTTACCTTAACACAGACGATACATAGATTGGGATCGTGAACGCTTTACAAGGTTTCATCTAACGGAAAAACAAATTGAATCTAACGCTTTACGTATATTTTGATAAAGGAATTATGAAATTTACAGGAATTTCAATGAATTTCAGGAGATAGGTTATGTAAAAATTGAATCGGAATTCGCGATTCAGCTTCAGAAATTCAATTAAATAGGCCTAAATTATCATTGTTATACACAAATAGATAAAGTGATGAATACCTGCAGGAAAAGAAGGTTACAGAAGTGATCGCGAGAGATGATTATTACAGCTAATGGAAGCGGCGGAGGCGGCGGATGGATGGACGGTGGCTCGGCCACGATAAGCTGCCGGCGGAGAGAGCCAGGCGGAGGTCCGGTTAGAAGGATCGGAGAGGTAGATCGTGGGGTTCGGACCGTTGATCTGATTAGTCAATCGAGTAATCAAGCGGCCTTGATTTTATTTAATATTAATGATAATAATAATAATAATAATAAAATTCGTTTAGCATACACCTTCCTTTAATTATACTTTTTACAAAAGAAAAGACCTTCAGAAATACATTGTGTAAAATAAATATTTTATAAATAAATAATTATAATATGTATTAAGGAGTTAAGTTGTAATTAATTAGTATGGTCTCAAAAAAAAAAACAAGTTGTAATTAGAACCTCTTTTATTTAATAAATTTTAATTGTCACAAAATGTTTTTTTGTGTAAAAGATTTGTTGGGCTTCATTCGGGCTTGTTTGGGCTCTTAGTTAGTATATGGGCTTTTATAGTGGGTCAGGCCCGAAGACGAATATCATACTGCATAAAAGTGGACAGATGTCCACGTCACCACCCACAAACAAATCACAATGGGAATATACCAAGTTTATTTGGCTTGTTCGATGAATTTCAAACGATTTTATCATCCTAAATTACACGTGTAATATGATTAGATTAACTTATTGAATTATAAACATTCTTATAGTTTATTTGCTCTTATATTTCTATTTTATCAACTTTTTTTAAAACGTGTGAGCATATTACATACTCGAAGAAAAATAAATACTCTTTGTTTTGTCTATGTAGAAAGCAAAAAGTTTATAAAATGCGGGTTAGATGCTACACGTGTTTATTTACATCGGGTGGATTCATATCTTATATTTGATTAAATACTAATCATTAACCACACAAATACATAAGTGTATGTAATTATATGTAGATCTGTGGTTCGAATTCAGCGAGTGTTGATCGTTATTCTGAAAAAAAAATATATATATACAATATTGTATTTTCACTTATCACGTGTTTCTGAAGAGAGTTGAGAGCATAGCGTTTTGGATGACCGTACAACTTCTACAACACCTTGATTTCGTTGTATTTTTATTGAGTCTGTTTGTATTTAATATAATTGGATACTAATTTGTACTTCTAGAGTTCTAGAATAAATACCATAGATTTAGAAATTCTTATGCTAGTATTCTTTAGATATTGTTTTAATAAAATTTTAGCTTGTAAAAACACATCAAAAAATTATATACTTAAAGATAATGACTTAAAACTTAAATTGTTTAATTTCCGCCGCAAAATATTTTGTTACACAAACTTTTATTAAATTATACGTGTAAATCCCTATTTTTATATTTTGTATATTAATTTACACGAATTTTGTGACATTGAATTCTTTCAATTTTGCGATAGAAAAATTCAACCATACATAATTTGAAATAGAAGACAAAAATAACCATACTTTATTTTTCCTAGAACAGTGTGACCACTCTATACAATTATGTCTTGCTGGAAAATATGCCAAACTTTGAATATTCCTAAGAAAAAGACATTCTATATATTCATTTTCTATTTTAATTTTACAATCTACATAATATTCAGATATTAAAAAAGAATTATTGGCACAAATTGTGGCTGTAGTTTACAGTAAAAAGTCCATGAATTTGAGCCATGTGCCTTTCTTGATGCTACCCCTATCAACTTCTTCTGAACATCTTGATGTCGACGCGCCGCCTCTAGCGGTGGCCGCCACCACCTCCGCCGCTGCCTTCTTTGGGTACAAAAAAAAGTTTCTTGATCCCAACTCATTTAGCTTCTCATCTCTATCCAAACCTGTTTATTAACCAATAAATAAAATTAGCCTTTTTTTAATATTAAAAAATAATCAATCAAATTATTGTAATTTATTGAAATGAATTATGATTTTTGTACAAAAATAATAAATTAAATTATAAAAATTAAAGAAAGTAATCGGATCGAGGCTTACTTTCTAAGCTGAACTGTGAGTAATGGAGGTCGAAGTCGGAGGCGCCGCCGGGAGGGATAACCGGCAGCCGCGCCTCCTTCGCGTACTGGCGGAGCGCCGCCGCGATCAGGTCCTCAACCGTCGCCTCAAGCGGCACCACCACCCTCACGGCCCCGAGGCATCTGTGTATAGTCACGTTCAGCAGCAGCTTCGTCAGCTTCGCGGGTGCTCCAATCGCCACCGCATCCTCCGCCGACCTCCGACCGGCGAATAAGTCCGGCGCCGTCCTCGGCCGTCGCAGGATCATCTCCGCCGCCACCACCGCGCCGTCATCTCTGCCGTGAAAAGAAGACGACTTCTCCGACAACGTCTTCCTCATCATCCCCTTGATCTTGTTCTTCTCTCCAGCTTTCCGGTGAATCTTCGGCGACGGCATTGGATATAGATATAGATATACAACTATCTGTATGTATATATTGTAGAATCTAGGTTTCGTAATTGAGATTTGTAGAGAGAGAAAGTCATGAGAGAGAAGTTGATGAGTTAATCCGGCGGGATTTTATAGAGAGATGTACCTTGGAAGCTACATCGGCTGTTTCCGTTATTTGGGATGACTTTCCTTGGTGTGTAATAGAAAACAAATCAAGTAAATAATATTTTTTGTTAATTATTTAAGAATTAAAATTATTTATTTAATGCCTTTTTAATATAATATATATCGTAGAATTAGAGTAAATAAATACCAAAAATTGAGGGGGTGATCTTGAAATTACGAAACACTCGATATATTATATGTCTATTTCGTAATTTTAAAATATAATAATTTTGATTGTTTTATTTAAATATAATTAGCTTTAGTTTTAAATTCCACTCATAAATTATAATACATGAATCGGGTCTTGATTTAAACTTTGCCCCTGCCCCTTTATAGTTTAGATGAAAGTGATACATATTGATTGAACCACATTAAATTTCACATATTACCTTCTAGTGCTCAAATTTGTCCAAATTATGTTAATTTACCACTATTAAATTATGTTGACTTATTAGTCACCTGCGAACCTCACAAAGAGTAAGGGTGTTGTCCGGGTGGCGAGTCCAATAATATGTTATCGGATCAACTTAAATTTTTTGGTGCTCGGGCAGCCTTCTATAAAATGATTTAGGAATTTTTTTTGCGTAAAATTGGACAAAATCAGAAAATAGGTAAAGAAGAAATAAAAATACTTTTTTTAATTTTTATTTTGCATAAATTTAATCTTCTGCAGGCTACTTAATAAAATAAAGGTGGGCTAAATACAGTTATAGGTATTTAATTGAGGGTGGGCTAAATACAATATTATTAGAATATTTTTGTTTATTTTGCATGCTTGAAATATAATGCGGGGTTATAATATATATACTATTTTAATAAAAAAAATATCAATATGAACCTATTTTTACAGTATTTTGTACGTGAACCTAATTTTTTTTTTTTTTTTGGAGAGCAGCCACGAACCCGAAAATTTAACTCGATCTATTTGTTCATGGGTCTGCCCCTGTTAATAGAAGTGGTTAAATTAAATTACCATATGTATTTTAATACTGGTTTAACTGAATTTAAGTACATTATTGGAAATTGAGTGATGTTGGAGTTAATTGTTTTCTAAAGGGTAAAGAAGTAAATTGGCATGGCCACTTGTTACAAGAAAAAGACAGAAGAGTCATCGGTGTGGGACTCAGGCGGGAGGACTAGTTGACTGTAATTCCACGACCGGTATGAGTTTGGCGGCTATTTGTTTGTGCAACGTCATCAGACTATGACACGTGTCCCAATGATGATGTCACCACACGAACATTGTATTCAGACAGTTGGGTCTTCTCTGAGCCATTATTGGTTCACTTATTCAATAGCTACTCACACATAGCTAGTCGACTATTTTGACTATGAATTAAATCATTAATTATGACTATTTTCAATACTTGTCAGAAAATATTTTTATTTACCGAAAATTAATTTACCGAGGTTTTATGTAGCTTATTTTTCGGAAGGCAATGCAATATTCTCTTGTACAACTGTTGCTTTGCTTAATGAATATTAGCTTCCTAATTGGATGGACCTAGTTCAAAGTTTGTGTCACGTTATGTATGATGATGATACAATGAATATGAAAATAATAATATATTACTTGCCGTGATATACTAATACTACTATATATTCTACATATGTTCACATCACATGCATGTATTATTTAATAGTTTGTCTCGAAACAAATCGAATGGAATTTGTAGAACAATGCGTTCGTTTACCAAATATATTTTCATTTTGTCGCGAATATATCACGAAAAATGCAACTCCATATTAACTAACTCTCAGCCAGGGGCGATATAAATTAAAAAAAAAAATATTAAAAAATACGTTGAATACAAAAGGGGCAAGCTACAGCTCAAACACAGTATATTCAGCTGCAGGTACACTACAAAAATAATCGATAATTAAAGACAAAAACGGGGCTATAGCGTTATTGGTGTGTGTAATGATAATATACTCAAATTCTCCAAAACTCGTTCCGTTTCCATTGAAGCTTTCCTTTTCGAGTGATTTCTCAAGCTCAGCTTCGGGTTTTGTTCGACGTGGTGGTGGTGGTGTGTTTGCCTCGTTAATTTCAGGTTCAAGTTTTTAACAACTGAACGAGGAAAGCTAACGGCGTGCGTACTCTGAAGCTGGTGATGTGTACGAATAGGAGTAGAAGAAGAAGCCCGTTTTGGTAATTTCGCCTCCTTCCACTTTGAAAATGAATTCTGCACCTTTTGTGGAACCTGTCGAGAAAAAATGAATGAGATGAATGTACGACTTTTTGAGTTCTAATAGTTTTCGGAAGGCAAACGAAACGTACTTCAAACATACATTTGCAAAATCGAAAACACACACCAAAAAACACACACGCATATACCAATGCACACTGGAAAATCAACTTCGTGTGCAGGTGAAATGTGCATGGTTTTATGTTTCCGGTGTATTCTGTACAGGTGATTTTGTGTTTTATGTGTGTGTATGTTTTTATGGTGTGATTGTGAATTAAAATAGTTTCATGCATTTAGTACCATTGTGTTTTACCTAATTGTTAAAAGACTCCTCATCTTTTAAATATTAGCAAAAAGACCCCTATAATGTATTTTTCTCAGCACTCAACCCCCTAAACAGCACATTATTAGGAGGTAGTTTGCTAATAAAATTGAATCATAGAGGGGATTTTGCTGTTATTTATATAAACACGAGGACTTTTTTGACAATTAGAATAAACGCACGGGTGCTAAATGCAACAAAACCCCAAATTAAAACACAATAAAAAACTAAAGACCCTTCGAAACTTACCAACGAGAAGAGATTAGTAGAACTCCCAAAGGACAGAGAAGTCGCGGCAAATGTAGACTTTCCAAATTTACCCCCCTTCGTCTCACTATTCACCGAGTTCCGCCCTTCAATTGACCCAAAGCTAGACGGAGCAGCACCATCACCATCATCATCATCTTCCTCTTCCTCCTCTTCTTCCTCCTCTTGTTCAGCCTCGCCTGTAATTTGCTCCACCTCCTTTGTGGGACCCACAGTAGAAACAGCTTCCTCTTCTACCCCTCCCTCCATTTTACTCTCTTCCTCCTCCTGCATCTTCTTCAACTCCTCGTCCAAATCCTCAATCGCATCCTTAAGCGCCAGCTCAGCGTCCACCAAGTCCATTTCTTTTTTCAAAACCTCCAACTTCGTCTCACTAGCTTTCTTCTTCTCTTCGGTCCATTTTTCTATTCCAGCGAGCATAGGTTTGCATTTATTTTCAACAGATGTTATAAAACGAACCCAGAAACTATCTCTCTCTTCAACCACTTCACGACCGTAGAACTCGTCGAATCCAAGGGGGAGAAACTCTGCCTTGTCTGGATCGATTTCTTCGCCTTCCTTTACCGGAGGCTGCCAGAATAAGCGGACCCCATGTTCTTCATCGTCTATGTAGTTTATTAATCTTCCAGTTGGAGTGTGTAGGATAAGGGGGTCTTCGGTGTATATAAGATTTGATGGATTTTCAGGATCTGGCTCCGGTTCTTTGCTTATCAGTACAAATTCTGGTTCTTCCTCTGAATGAAAAACCACGGAAATTTAATCAAGAAACCTTCTCATACATGTACATTCATGAATACATTATCAGACGGAAAATAAAAATAAAAAAGTAATTTAAATTAAGAAATTTCGAAAAGGAAAAGGCAGAAAAGGGTCTGGGAAGCTTAAGAAACATTGATTTAACTTTTCAAGTTTGCAGAAAAAAAAAAAAAGGCAAATCAAGAACAAGTTATTACCTTTGGACCACCAGTATTCGAGTTCAGCAGGCATGGGTATCCTGAGCGGAGCTTTATAAAATGAGTTCAACCACATCTGTCTTTCTTCATCCACCTCATGGACGTACATTTTCCAATAATCTGGAACCTGAAAAAAAAAATTACAATTTTTTTATGCTATTTATGATTGCATTTCTCGTGTTTTTATATGCTGAGTTACCTCGTAGAATTGATTGATGAAACCTGGAGCCATCCACACATCCTCTTCCTCGTATAAATAGGGATGTTGAGGATCAGAGTATGGACCTCTATCTTCTCTCACCACTACACAGATTTAGAATTGTTTTGCAAATTAATCAAAGAAGAAAAATGGCACCAAATGCAATGTTACACTGCTTAAATCACAAATTAGATTAAATCAATTATTTAAAATATTGTTTCTAAGATAACATAATTTCTTGGATCCCACCAGCTGCATATCATCCCAAATTATCATACTCGACTAAATATTGAGAGAGGGTATATTCTAATCTTATTACACGAGTGAGCAATTATAAAGATCAGAACACTGATTTGTCGAAGCAGCTTAAACAAATCTCCACATAGTACAATTAAACAAGCAGCTTATTTATCCTACAGTGAACTTATATTCTAGGACCCTATTAGGTTAGGGTTTTTTTCGAACATTGTCATGCAAACACTGCCATTTTTGTAAATGCAATGATAAAAACAATTAAGACTTTTAAGATATAAACGAGTAATATTCAGTAATATATCAGTAAATCGGGAATGCTACTTACTTCCATCAGGCTTGTTGACAAACATGCGTGCCTTTGCAGCTGCCACCTCTGCTATACCTGCATGCATCTGAGGTAACATACTATAAGTTATCTTCATCTCAGCGAGTAAAAAGTTTTAGATGTGTGTGTGTGTGTGTGTGTGTGTGTGTGTGTGTGTGTGTGTGTGTGTGTGTGTGTGTGTGTGTTTGTGTGTGTGAGAGAGAGATTATTTAATTTACCCCTGAGACTTCTGCATCACATCCAGTAGTATCTTCTAAAAGTTCGCCAAAATAGAATCGTCCCTGCTCACATAAATAGAAAACGCGATGCATTACTTCTCATTGTTTGAAATTGTGCATGAAGGTATTTTCCTCTTCCATAAGAAATACGATGTATAATATCTGCGATATTATGTATAATATCTGTCTCTAAATCAGAATTTTATAAGCCCTTTATTTTTTTCTCAAACATCAATCAGATTAACAAACTATATACACTATGTTTTGCCGAAGTATCAACTATCAAGTCAATCTGTTTAAAATTAACATTCTTAAATTGTAGTTAGATTGACTAGTCAACAACACCGGACGCATGGTGGAAGAGAGATAGCATATAACAACTCTTAATATAAGGTGCTACATTGAGAAAAACTACGAAACGAAGATGAAAGAAATACATTAACTTCATAAAAGCAAGATACTGTCATTCTCATTATCGTTATGTACGGGTAGAATCAGGGCTATTTTGTTTCTTTATCGTCAAATGTGTTTCAAGTTTTTTTACTACAGAGGGATTAAATGCAAGGGAGAAAAGCAAGAGTAATAGCGTGTTCTTACAAATGTTGTTCGCTCGTTGACTTCATATACACCACAACCGTGCATTCTCCCATGTTTCCATTCACCAGCATATCGGTATCGGCCTTTCTCCCTAGCATCAAAGTACCACAAAAAAGTCACATAAGCACAATCAATTATAAGCTTAAGCTAATGGGCAGCCATTCTTCTCATGTGAATCGAACGTTTTCTTATTATTTATAGTAGTAATTCAGATGTTTTCTCTTGAATATCATAAAGTATTCACAAGGACCGTCTATAGCAATAGTAATTAATAAAAAAAACTTACGGTTTCTCTCCAAATTCTTTGATCCACTCGTCATTTTCGTAAAAAGGGATTTCATAATTTCCATCAGCTAAACGTACACTGTCTTCAATATCCTTCTCTAGCCATTCCCTGTCTTCAGGTGACATAAAATCTCTCGATATTATTTTCCCTTCGGCTCTCATCTTTGCTTCAAGCCTATATTAAAAAAAACAAAAGGGATATGATAACTAAATAGAATATTCCGCAATATGTTTCTATTCTAACTTCTAACTACGAATTATATAATAACGAGTTTGCATGGATGTGAAAGACGTACTTGGAACCGGGAATAGGCTCTGGGGTGGGAATATCCACTTCAATAACTCCGTGACCTTCCATGTTGTTTTGGAGCCATTCTCCTTCATACCTATCAAGCAGCAACTAACCCTTGAGGACTTGTGATTATATCGGCACAAACGGAAAAACGAGATATTCATGGATTATCAACACAAAAACTTCAATTCTGCACACAAACCTGACCAGCCCTTGCTCGGCAACGTAAACGCCTTTACCATGAGCCAAATCATCCCAAACAGTGCCTTCGTACCTTAAAAACATCAAAATTCATCAATGAACATATAATCGGGAATATGTAGCATTAATACACAACAATCACACCTAAATCATAACATCGGTAGTAACGTTTTCATTTTGTTCCCAAAAACTAATAATCGATTATCGAACTTCTCATAAAAGTTACCAAAACAATTTCAAATGTTTGCGTCTCTTCCAAACATGATTTGAGTGCTAGAGTAACTAGAAACAATCAAACATCACTACATTTCTTTCAAATTCTTCTTCTAAAATACATTTTTCCGACATCTTTAGACAAGTCCATAGTATTTTATCTCCTCCCAAAATATAAACAAACACTACTTTCGAAATTCTATCCTCAAAACATATTTCCCCAAAAATAAAACTAAAATAAATCTAAGAACGCAAACATGTGCAACAAATGCTAAAGAAACACCCCACCAAATCACACAACAAATTCAAAATTCAAAAAAAAAAAAGTGCGAACAAAAATTGAACTCCGAACACTCACGAGCTGCCGTCGGGGAAAATGTAGCTAACCCAAACCATGAACTCCTCAATCCTATCGAGCTCCTCAATAACCGACTTGGGGTTCGAGATATCGTAGTGGTTATCCGGAATCACCGGATAAGGCTTCCTGTACGGCACGTAAAACGGGGCAATGGGCGGGTCCCGGCCCTCCCTAATCTCCTCGTCGACGATATCGAAATCCTCCTCGTCCGCCGTGTGTGGGTCCCACCCCTGCTTGGTGGAGGCAATCGGAGCGTCCCCCCACAGCTCCCTCAGATCCTCCTCCCGCCAGTCCTCCGGGTCCCTCGGGAAATCGAACAGGTCCTCGTGGTACTCGATGTCCTTGTCCTCCTCGTCTTGCTCCCGGCGCAGCCGCTTCGAGTTGAGTAGCTTCGTGAAGCGGCGGATGTTGACCTCCGGCACGTTCTCGCCGTCGGAGTCGCCGGCCATTACTTGCTGGCTCGTGCCGTCGGCTCGGGTGTAGGTTATGATTTCGTCGTCGGAGTCGGAGTCCAAGTCGGAGTCGGAGGAGGAGGAGGAGATTTCTACGGGGGTGCGTTCGGAATCGGAGTCATCTTCGCCGGGGGTTTTGGCCTCTGGTTGGGCTCCTTCTACCGGAGTTGGGGCCGGCATTGTTGGTTGGATTTCAGTGTGTGTTTGTGTGTGAAAAATTCAGAGGAAGGGCGGAGGGAGGAAGAAGATAAGGTGAGGGAGAGTGAGAAATTTGGCTGTGGGTTTTTGTGTCTATTTCAGTATTGAAGTTATCGAAGAATGGTAGTACTACTGCATTGAGGGGTTGTACCAAAGTATCATACGCTCTGACTAGTTGTACCTAATTTCCCTCTTTTCCCCCAATTTTTTTTAAAGGGTTTTACAAATTTTAATTTTCATAATACAAACTAGCATTTTTCCCCATGCGATGTACGGGATATTATTTAAATAGTGAAAAAAAAATAATCAATTTAATACGTAATAAGAAAATATAGTACACTAATATAGTAAAATTAAAAAAATGTAGTATTATTCATATTTTATATAACATTAGTTTTTTTAAATCTTACATATTAAGATTTATAATCAAAATAAATAGACTAAATTTAACAAATCGAATTTCTAGCTTTATATGTTACGATTTGAGATATATTGATGAAAAATAGGAGACTAATAATTGTTAAAAATTATAGTTAGAAATTAGTAGAGAAAAAAATATTAAAAATAAATAATTACAGAAATACCATTAGGGTTTTTTAGGATTGCCCAGCGTTTCTTTCTTTTATATATAAGATTTCTAACAAAACACTCTCTAGTCTCAAGGTTATAATTGTAAAGTTACACTTTCACAATATCTTCTCCGACATACTCGCAACATAAGCATCGGCTACAAGCATGCACCATAACAACTCCAAGTACAAGGTAAAATAGATATTTTTACTTTTTAACGAAAGAATCGAGAAAAAAAATGGTCGTCCAACTGTTTCATGCTCTATTCGATACATGCCTTATGGAGTAAAGAATAAGTTGCCCCCGAGAGGCCGAGATTATAAGCTAATTTGCACGTCATCCTCAAACATTTTTTTTTGACATTTTTGCATAACTTGATTATATGTTTGCACGATGACTGAAACTTGCCATTTTCACCGAAATTTGAAGGATGTGTCACTTGCATTTTCCAAGGATAGTATCGTCATTTCAATGGATTTGAACGAAAATCTTCAATTTTATCTTGTGCGTTTAAATGTGATTCAAGTTCGATTAGGTCTTGATTTGTGCATCTGGATTGAGACTCACGATTTGAAGTGGGATTCAACCTATTTGCTCTAAATTTTACACCATCCAGTTGCAATTATACATGAAGCAATCTGAACGGTCAAGATCGAGATAGTTGACTTTTAACCGGACTTTAATTGACTTGGACATATTAAAGAGTTGAGTGGTAAAAAAAAAATTAAACTTAGGCCCAATCATAAAAATCATCTATGGGCCCAAAACCTTACAAACGAACAGTTATGGGCCGAAAGTTGTCACCTCTATATAAGCCCCATTCATAAATACATTATTGTACACGTAATAAATTGATACATAAATAAAAATATTAAATATCCCAACAATTAAACATGTAGTTGTATGATAATTGATAACCCAAATTCAATAGAGATTCATTCCAACAAAAATACTAGAATCCCATAATAATAAACTTCCTCTTACTGAAATTCAATTAAAATAACATAGTCGATTTATTTATTTATTTCTTTTTTCACTATTCCTTTTCCCTGCGACAAATAAATTTGTTTAATTTGTTACCAAAGGTAAAAATTTCTTCTTTTCGGCCGTCGAAAATTGTGTGTTTTCTCTCTCTCTCCCACTCTGTGTGCGTGCGTGCGTGTGTTTTTCAATTGAGTGATGACTTCTTCTGCAAGTATTTCTCTAGACGTTGTGTTTATCTTCAGTTTGATTCTCGTTTTGGTTCTCTCTTTCTTAAAGCTGAACGAATTTTTCGCTTTTTTGAAGTTTCAATAGAACCTTGAACGGCGCGCAATGTCCGGAGAGTTGAAGGAAGACGGTGCTTGGGTGCCGTTAACGCCGCCGAAATCTGCTCCGGCGAGATGCGAAGCTACTACCAGCTCGGCTGATAAGGTCTTAAATCACGTCGATTTTGGTCGTGAATTTGGGGTTTCCGCCGGAACCTGCTCCGGGGGAGACCAGGGAGCTGTACGGAATTCCGATGGTTCTGTGCTGGAAATTAGGGCACTGGATTGTGCAAAAATTGGTGAGGATTGTGGAGAAATTGCTTCCGGAAAAGTTGGTTTCGTTGTTGATGGAAATCCAGGCTGCGCCGGCGGTTTTCAGTCGCCGGGGTTACTTGGAAAACCAGAGGCCATAATCGGTGGGATTTCAGGTACAATTCGTGCTATAGTAGAAACTTGATAAATTAATAATCTCATTTAAATAATAATTTTTTTCGGTCCCTACTCGAAGACAACATGCTAATTAATATTCCGATATATTAATATTTCGCTAAATTAATATTTCGCTAAATTAATAGAATTTTAATTTATAGAGGTTTAACTGTAGTCTATGTGTGTGAGATCTGTGTGTGAGAGAGAAAACTTGGGAACATGTTGAATTAGATGAGATTTGAATTAATTCGTTGACTAACGAATATGTCCATTTTTTAAATTAAATGTACTTGTATTTAATAGCGGACTTTAAAATTTGTAGTGGATTTGAGTAAGTATGAATCTTGTCAACTGAAGGTGTTGGTAGAACGTTATTGTGGTAACTGAACGAGCCCTTAAACTATATGTAGTTGTTTACTAATACTGCAGCGTAAGTATATGAGTATGTCTCTGGTCAACTGAACGAGTCAGTAGAACATTATAGTGGTAACTGAACGAGCCCTTAAACTATAAGCAGTTGTTTACTAATACTGCAGCAAAAGTATATGAGTATGCCTATATATATATATATATGTGTGTGTGTGTGTGTGTGTGTGTGTGTGTGTGTGTGTGTGTGTGTGGTTTTTTCTTACTATGCTTGGGGCATCATTAACTAGTAACCATATAGAGAAGCCTATGTTAATTAAAGCTAATTTCATCTTTTTAGGCAGGATTGTTTCCTTGTTGTTCTGACTTCACTTGTTCTTTATTCTGTTTTCACTTGGTCAGTTGACTTCATATGTACAAGGTTTTAGACACATACCTACGAGTAGAAGTTCATCGATGTCAATTTTGATTATATTTATGACATTTTCTAATTCTCTCTTTTTTTTCCTTCATTGTGCTGTAGAAAATGGCTTGACAAAAGATTCAAGTGTGCCGATGAATCAAACATCCAGAAAGAGGAGCAGAAAGGCCATGGAATCGAACAAAAAGCCACAAAAGAGACCGAAAATAAAACGACACAGACCTAAAGTCTTTGACGAAACTAAACCGTTGAAGCCTTTAACCCCTAAACCTCGTACTCCAAAGCGCCCTAAACCAGTGAAAAAACAAATCCCCAAGCCTGTAGCCAGTCCATTGAAAGATCTTCGTATCGAAGAAGTCAGCGAGTATAAAAGGAATGGTTCTTGCAGGCAAAAACTGGATTTCGAAGTGCAAAACTGCGTTGTGAGTCAGAATATTCCTACGGTTTGTGACGGGATACAAATCGAACCTGAGGCTGAGCCAAAGCAACAGTCTAGCAGCAGATTCAGTTCTCCGATAATTGTCTACCGAAGAGTATTCAGACCAAACGAGTGTTTGAAAAACAGTAGAAAGACGGGTCCCAACTGTCCGAAAGTATTCAAGAAAAAGAGGACGATGCGGAAAAGGGCAATCGTGTTCGACAAGTACATTGGAATAGTTGGTGGTACAGTTCCACCCCCTCGAAAACGGAGAAGAACAGCAGCAGGGAACGAGCCACTGAGCTTGTGCCACATGGCAATACATTTCAAGAGAAAACCTCGATCTTTAACACAAAGGCGGAAATCCCCGAATGCATGGATATCCGTGGGAAAAGTATCAAAGAAAGTAGGGCCCACCTTGAATTTAACATGGAAGGCTACTTTGAAGAAGAAAAGATCCAATAAATCCACTTCTCGGCTGGACTTATCATCGTTCGTTAGTGATATTTCTAAGCTCCAACTATCGGAGGCTTTTCTTTTGAAAGCTTTTAGTATTAGAACCCGAGATCGCGACGTGGACAAATTTGCAGCTTGTGTTGATATTCAGGATAAAGTCATTCAAGATTTGGAAACAAAAAATTCGACTGAGAAAGAGGAAATTCTGAAGGACTGTGTTGTTGTTTCTTGTAATAAAATTTCGACTCAACGAGAGGAAATTCCTCAGGATTATGGGCTTTCTTGTAATGAAAGCATTCACAGATGTCTTGCAGACGAGGTTATGCTTGAGGTTGAAGCATATCCACCTGTGAATGGTGAAACCTCTGAAGTTAAGTGTGCGAATGAAACACGATCGTTTTCCGATATTGCCACTCCAAACTTTGAGGGCCCGTGTGATGAAGAAGAGAATGTCTCGGAAAACGACAATCGTGAGTCCAAATCCCAAATTTTATATTTGTCTTTTGTCTTTATTGCATTTAGCATCCCCTATGTTTTCCGTAATTGCTAAAAAACTCCTTGTGTTATAAATGTAGCGAAATCCCCCCTTAAAAATGTATCATGGGTGGGTGTTTGCTGAGTTTTTTAATGCAATAAACTCATATTTTTTAGTTCGAGATTGATTTACGAAAAACTGATGGATTGTGTTTTCATGCGTCTTCTTGATCTAGCTTCAGATGAGGCACTAGCAGAAGCTCTGGCTGATTTTGCTACGGAGAGGATGGAGTGTCTGAATATCGAAGACCGATGTAATGAAATTGTGGTGAGAGATCAAAATGCCAACGGTGCGATTGTTCCTTCCGAAGGAAAATTTAATCCAATCAAGAAACAACGCAAACAGTGGCCAAAGGTTGAACTCGATCCAGAGTTTATGCTGGTGGAAAAATGTGAGGGTGAAAAAGATACTGAGCAGCAAGACGAAGATGTCACGGCGAAATATTGGAGGGAGCAGAAAGCACTATTCCGAGGGCGAGTGGACTCGTTTATGGCCCGCATGCGTCTTATTCAAGGTATGCATTCTATATTTTTAGATCGAATACTGGCTTTTGGGCTAAACCTTTTATTCAAGTGTATTTTTTCATTGTTCGAATTCTTGAAATTCTGGATTAACGATTTGAAATATATCGAATTCTCAGGTGACAAGCGATTCTCCAAATGGAAAGGGTCAGTTGTTGATTCAGTGGTCGGAGTTTATCTTACGCAAAATGTCAGTGATCATCTCTCCAGGTATTAAAAGAAAAATACTCGTATTTTGTCCAAATTATTGCCTCTCCACCTTTTTTCTTATTTCAATGTTTGACTATTTTTGTTTGTTTTACGGCTTGCAGTTCCGCCTTTATGGCTCTCAAAGCAAGATTCCCACCTGCACCCGAGACTGAGCACAATGACTGTGAAGGGGCATGTGATTGTGGTCATGATATTCCGCAAGTGATAATAACCGAACCACCCGAACCACCCTCTGACAAATCTGAAGAAGTTCCGATCACGGAAAATTGCCCTTCACCGCCCCCAACAAATCAGGTGCCGCCATCTGTCAAATCCGACGAATTTCCAATGACGGACAATTGCCCTTCACCGCCCCCCACCAGTCAGGTGCCACACTCTGACAAATCTGAAAAATTGTCTGAAAATTGCCCTTCACCGGACCCCTCAAATCGGGTTGAATTTGATCAAGAAAATGGAATCGGAACTACACCTTCCTTTCAAACTGAATCTACACCGGGAAAGAAAAAGGGAAAAGCTAAAGAAAAACCTGAAATCAATTGGGATGAATTGAGGAAACAAACTTTAGCCGGTAATTCAAGAAAACGAACAAAAGATGAGGCTGATTCCGTTAACTGGGAAGCCGTTAGACAAGCACCGGTTGAAGAGCTGGCCAAAACTATACTGGACCGGGGCATGAATAATTTACTCGCTGCAAGAATCAAGGTTTATTTATTATTAAAGTAACGAGTCTTTTGTTTTTTTGGAGGTTAACATAAGATGTCTCTTCATTATTGTGTCTTAAATATCAATTTTTTTTTTTTTGCAGGATTTTCTTGATCGAATTTATAAAGATCATGGCAGTATTGACCTTGAGTGGCTAAGAGATGCTCCTGAAGATAAAGCCAAGTTTTTATTTTTTTATTTTTTTATATATTTTTTTTAAAGTGTAATACATCGAATCTAAATATTAAATTACTTTATAGGGATTACTTATTGAGTATAACTGGACTTGGATTGAAAAGTGTCGAGTGTGTAAGGCTATTGTCGCTTCACCATCATGCATTCCCAGTAAGTATTTGTTGAACACATATATATAGGTGTATGTATATGTATGTATAGTATAACTTCATTGGCAATATTATGGATGTCTCTCCTTGTTGTAGGTCGACACGAACGTTTGTCGCATTTTGGTGCGTCTTGGATGGGTCCCGATGAGACTACCCAAAGATGTTCTGATACACGACCTGAATCAGTAAGTATTTATCGGAAACAATTAATTAATGTCACTTAAGTCATTAAATATACGGTAGATAATCTAAATTATTCTTCTGCAGGTACCCATCGTTAGATGATGTCCAAAACTACATTTGGCCACGTTTGTGTGACTACTCGCAACCCGACTTGTAAATCTACGAACATGCTCTTTTCTTGTGTATATATATATATATATATATAAATATAGTAGTGAAATTGCTTAATATTATTTTACCTTGTGCAGATACGAACTCCATTGTCAATTGATTGTATGTGGAAAGGTCAGTTTTTTTTTTTTTTTTCCTTAAAATACAAATGGAATCTATGACAAGCTTTTCTCATATTTTGTAATGAAATAGGCACTCTGTACGAAGAGACAACCGAATTGTAATGCATGCCCAATGAGAGGAGACTGCAGACATTTTGCGAGTGCGTTTGCAAGGTATTCTTATCATCTGCTAACTTTTAATGTTATAAATGCAATTTCAAAATAAATAAATATCATTGTATACATATATATATATTTTTTAATGCAGTACCAGGTTTCGACTTGATGGCTCTCGAGCGGAAAATGTGACAAATGAATATCTAACTGCATCTAGTCAAGGAAGCTCGAATATGAATACAAGTCAACCAGAGATCTCCTATTTAGACGGTGATTTCTCCACAGACGGGAATAAAAATAATAATACTTGTAATTCTGAGCCATTTATAGAATTTCCAGAATCTCCAAAGGCCTCTTCTTCTTCTACGGAATTTCTAGAGAGAGATATTGAAGACTTTGGCGAACCCGATGAATCTGAAATTCCTACAATTAAAATTAACAGCGAAGAATTCATTAGAAATGTAAGAAGTATCATTGGTGAAGACAATGAGACGTCAAGAGAACTGGTTATTTTAAGACCTGAATTTGCATCCATTCCCGTACCCAAACTTAAGGATGTCAAGCGATTAAGGACAGTTCATCACGTGTAAGGATTTTTATTATCTTTTTTGTTAATGTCTTGATTTTATTTAAATTTTTTTAATAACGATTCATTACAGGTTTGAGCTTCCGGATACACACCCTCTTTTGTCAGGGGTGAGCCTTCTACTTTCTTTCTTTAATTATATAAATTTACGTAATTTTTAAAAATTATATTAATGCATAAAAATTTCATTCTACTTCTTTTTTTGTTTTTTTCACAGTTCAGGAAAGTTGAAATTGACGAACCCTCTCCTTATTTGTTTGCAATGTGGGCATCAGGTTAATTTACTAATTTGTGAAATAAATGTTGTTACAAGGGTAAAATCCCATGGGAGTCTAGATATTATTCGATTTTGAACATTTTTCATTTTGTTGTTTTTTGTAATTTCTCTCAGATGAAACTCTGAATTATTCCCAAGAGTCGAGACAAGATTCCAACTGCGAGGAGTTAATAGCAGGAGAATCCTCTCAACAAAACCAAAATGACACGATAGTTCATGGAACAATTATGGTGAAAATAATTTAACATTATTTTTTATTTTTTATTTTTGATTATACATATTCTATCGTGTACTACAAACTGCAGGGAGATTTATATCTTCAATCAAATGTATTTTCAGATTCCTTGCCGAACATTTAATAGAGGATCTTTTCCACTCAATGGGACATACTTTCAGACGATCGAGGTACGATTATTATTATTAATTTTTTTTTTAACAAATTAAAATCATTAATTAACTTTTATTCTTCGATGGTCTTTTGCATGCAGGTATTTGCTGATCATAAATCTAGTCGAAATCCAATAGCTGTTCCAAGAAAATTGTTGTGGAATCTAAGGAGACGATTATTGTATTGTGGAACATCATTAACATCAATATGTAGAGGTGATTTTTTTGTGCTAATATGTTCTTACACTTTGACATGTTCGAATGAAATTAAATTTTACATCTGATGCTATTATAAACATTTTTTTTTTCTTTTTGTAATATAGACCTGTCAACGGAGGAACTTCAACATATGTTTTGGAGAGGTAAGTATCAAAATGCGTTCATAGGGTTTCTCTTGTTCATCTATAACAACCGTAAAAGAATTCCAAGAGTATTCGATGAAGAAAAAACAGGATTTTTAATGTCGGTTTGTTAACAAAAATATTTTTTTAGGTTTCATCTGTGTTAGAGCTGTTGACACGAAGTATGGGAGAGCAATGCCACTTGCAAAGAGATTCCACCATTGCAAAACAAGGCATATTGACGACGAATGATTGAATTTATATGGAAAAAGAATAGAGTAAGTATATATTTGACTATTTTCAGTATATATTTTGCTTTTGTCTATGATAATTGATACAAATTCTTGAGACATTGACCAGCTATAAAGCTCGTAATATTTCCTCAATTGTAAATTTCTTACAAAGGAAATAGGGCTAATACTTAATTAGTGCTAATTAGTGTCGAATCAAATCATGTTTTTTTTTTTTTTTATGATGATTGTTATTATTATTATTATTATTATTTATAATAGTGGGGCTAATACCGATTTGAGGATAAGCCAATGGAATGGAGCAAGAATTTGCCAAGTAATTTCAAAATATTTATTTAATTTGGGAGTATATAAAATAAGGTATACCTCTAATACGTAATTAAATTCATAAGCATATGCTAATAAAGGTGGTCGCCAATTGCTATAGACAAACCGATTGTTGATAAAATGGGGCCCACTGCTGCATATCTGGATCATGACTTCCTGAATTTACTATTCTTAGCCAATTAACAGAGAATCGAATTATTACCATTATTAAGTTGTAAAAAATTTATTATTTCACATATATTAATTTATTTAAAATATATGCAGGGGAATCAGAATCCATATAGTGTAAGATTGAGAATTGAGAAGAAAGCAATGGTGAGCATATTGAAATCTTTTTGGGTCCAAAAGGACCTCTCTTTTCAAGAACTTGTGTTGACTCATCAAACATTTTAACCCACCAATCTTTGATTAATTATTTGATATAAACTTTCAATTATAAATAATATTAAATATGCATTTCTAAATATATATATATAAATATAGGTTGAATATTCCTCAATGAAGTTAATCAAATTTGGACAACCCCAACCAGGAAATTACACCCGATTATATACATCTCGGGTGATTGTTAACCGTAAATTTACACATTATCACATGTGTACTTAGTGAAATGTAATTTAATCCCATCTACAATTAACAATACCCAATTCAAATAATCAGGGGAATCAAAAAAAAAAAATTAGAAAAATATAAATAAAAAATATGAAATTACTACTATTGTTAGGATAAAATTGGACAAAAAAATTCTATGAAGCGACATTTGATTTTGATGTGAGAAACAAAAAATTATGGCTATAAAGACACTTTAAATAA